ACAAGTTCAAAACCCATATATTTCTGTTTATCCATCTTTCTGCAAGAATCAAAAGTTCAAAACCTACGGACTTTCTCTCTCTCTGCAACTGCTAACTTGTATGTATGGGTTTTGTTTTAATTTATTTTTGGAAGTCACGGCGGCGGAGGGACGGCAGCTGTGGATCAGTGGCTGAGGCGAGGGACGCCGGCGGTGGACGTCCATAGACGGCGGCAGCGACAGAGAGAGAAAGAAAAGAGAGGAGAGAGAAGGAGAAAAAAAAAAAAAAAAAAAATTGGGTTTTGGGTTGGGTTCGGGTTGAGCCCGAGCCCAACCTGAATATGTCTGGGTTTTGATAAAACCCAACCCGAACATGAACCCGATTTGTGAATATAAGCCCCAATTTCAAATTTTCTAGGTTGGGCTTGGGTTAGGCTGGGTTAACCCGCCCAAGTTGCAGCCCTAACTCCATGTATAAAAGATACTCAAAACAAATGGAGATTTTTAGTGATTTCAGCCAAAGCAAGCAATACAGTTTCATTGAGTAGAATCAAGTCATACACAATTTTGCACAAATTATAGAAATACTAAAGAGTTCCAAAAAATATAGGAACTTTGGATCAAACTGTAGAAAATTCGATAGCATCTCAAATTGACACATTCATGATCTATTATATATTTTAAAAGAGTTATTGATGCAAAGTAAGTGGAAGTAGACTATTTTCAAATAGTTGAACACTCAAAGAAGACGCGACCGAGTTTCCATAAATAGGGGCAGTTGATGATCAGTCCGATTATGTGATTATTTTTTTAGTCTTGAGTCATTTATAAGTCTTTAATCTGTTTTCATGCTTAGGATTTTATTGTCAGTTGGTTTTATTTTATAAGAAATGTGCCTTTTAAGTGAGTCATGTGACTTCTTAAGGTATGTTTTGTAATTTTTAGATCTTTATTCTGCTAGAGAGAATACTAGCCATTAGATTACATTTATTTAAAGGGTTAGGATTATATCTTTGCTAGGGCACCCATTGTGTCTTATAAAAGGGTTGTTCCAAGTTGTATTCACCAGCTTTTGATGTATTATTAACGTTTTAGTCTGCTGTAGCAGCCTTTTACCTCTCCCTTTCTTTGGGATTGAGTTGCGGTTGTTTAAGCTAATTTTCTAGCTTGAATTAGCTCTTTGTTTTCCCTTAGGCTCCGTTTGGTTAGTTGGAATCAACTAGAAAAGAAAGGAAAGAGAATTTTATTTTTATTTTTTAGAGTTTGGATAAATGGAAAAAGAATCGTAATAGAAAATATAGTTTCCCGCATTAGACAATTTTCCCCCAAAACTTTTCTCACACAAAGCATACAAAAATTATATTTTCTCATGATTCTTTTTATTTGACGTTCCTATTTTATCCAACAACTTAAAACAACCAACTTCTTTCTTTTCTAACTAAGTTTCTTTTTTACTGAGTTTCAAATAGGCAAGTTCTCTAACAATTTATATTTTAGTGGAATTCTAAAAGACAGTTCTATCTAAACACGTTCTCTATATGGATGATTTTTTTTTTCCCCAAATATATACATTGCATCTTATATATATATATATATATACACACACACACACACACAGAGAATAATATACATTTTGCTCTTTTTGTGTTTTCTGGTTGAAAGCCAATGAGTCCATGAGCCTAATTTTATTTTATTTTTTTTTATTTTTATTTTTATTTTTTTTTTGTGTGTGTGTATTTTTAAGCTTCCTTGTTTCTATTAAATTAATAGTTAACTTCTACCTAAGAAGTCTTGACGTATTATTTTAATTTAAACAATATAAATGAATATAAATAATTATATTATTAAATTTAATAATTCATCATTTTACTAAAACTTTGCTAAAAATAGACATCATCAAGTACAAATTCATTTATTTTTTTAGTATTTGAAATTGGTATGCACAATCACTTTTTTTTCATTTTCATGCTATCCAAACTAACAAACTAATATTTTCGTACAATTCTCCTGAATAAATTTTCATGCTAACCGACTGCTTGCTAGAAAATAACTTTTCTTTTCATTCACTTCACTTTTCTTTCATTTGCCATTTCTTTTCTTTTCTTGCTTATTTCCATCCTATTGAAGATTTAATGGATAAATCAGTGGAGGAAAATCTTTCAATAATTGATGTTGTTTCCTATTATTGAAAATTTGGTGTTATAGAGGAATCAGTGGAGAAAAATCCTCCTTGTTTCCTATTTTCTAATTCTTTCCATTCTCGTAATTTCTTCTCCTATATAAAGGAGTCTCCACCATTGTATTGTATATGAATTAAGAAATAATGGAATAAAAGAGATGCAGCCGTTTAGGTTTTGTATGTCGTGGATGTAGGCCCTAGTGGCTGAACCACGTAATATCTATGTGTGTTCTACTGGTTTTATTTATCTCTTTACTTCCTTTTTTATGCTTTACAACATGGTATTAGAGCCTAATTTCTCTTCCTAGGTTCGGACCCCTGTTATGGGGTATTCCCTTAGCATCTGAAATGTTGCTAAGGGTTTCTCAGTGCTATTTGTGACTTGTTTGGGCTACCGATTTGTTCGGCAGTAATATTCTTCACCTTTGCCGTGTCTCCGACAGTTTTTATTGGCTTGTTTGGACTGCTGGTGTATTCGATAGCATTGTCTTCGTCTTTGCCGTGTCTCCGGCAGTTTTTGTTGACTTGTTTGGGCTGCCAGTGTGTTCAATAGCATCGTTCTTCGTCTTCTCTCTTCATCATTCACACTTGTTACTACTCGTCATCTCAATGGCAAGTTGGGCATTCATGCTCCAACTTGAGGGGGAGTATTGAAGATTTAATGGAGAAATCAGTGGAGGAAATCAGTGAAGATGTTGTTTCCTATTATTATGTTATAGAGGAATCAATGGAGAAAAATACTCTCTATTTTCTATTTTCTATTTTCTAATTCTTTCCATTAGCATAATTTATTCTCCTATATAAAGGAGTCTCCACCATTGTATTGTAAATGAATTGAGAGAGTATTATAAAAGTGATGTAGCCCCTTAGGCTCTTTGTGCCGTAGATGTAGGCTTTAGTGGCTGAACCACATAATATCTTTAATTTATCTTTGCTTTCGTTTTATGCTTTACAACACATCTAACCAAACGGAGCCTTATAGATTTTATTTTTCCTTTCATAGCTGATTGCATTAGTTGGTATCAGGTCCATTGGTTTTGTGTAGGTCTATCAGATTTCTCTCTTAGGTTTTGCAACATGCCACCAAGAAGAAGAAACCCACCTCGCAGACCAGCTGTTCGGTCTAATCAGGACGCAGCAGTTGATCAACAACAAGTGCTTGCAGTGATAAAAGATATAAAAAGGCAGATTAAAGCTTTAGCCCGGCGGGTTGCACAAACCCCAGCTCCTTCTCAAGATGGCGTCGAATCTGAGAACGACAATTTCGAAGAGGAATTTGTTAATCCTTTTCGCAGAAACGCAGCACCAAGACCATCACCTTTTCCATATGAAGAAAGGCGTTGGGATGGTGGTTTTAAGGTGTCAATTCCAGAATTTGCAGGAGATTTGAATGGAGAAGGTTTCATTGATTGGTTAACCACTGTGGAAAGAATCTCTGACCTAAGGGTGTACCTGAGGACAAAAAGGTAAAATTGGTTGCTGTGAAACTAAGAGGAAGAGCATCATCAACTTGGTGGGATCAATTCATTATGGCGCGACAAAGGCAAGGAAAGCCCAAGATTGTTGATTGGGAAAAGATGTGAAAGAAGCTAAAGGAGACTTTTCTTCCTTACAACTATACCCAGTCAATGTTTGAAAGGCTACACAATTGTCGTCAAGGAAGCAGGACTGTTGACGATTACGCTGAGAAATTCTTTAGACTTGTTCTCAAGAATGAGTTAAATGAAAGTGAGGAGCAAAAGGTTGCACGGTATATAGTGGGCTTACGAGTTAATCTGCAGGATATACTGATTCAACAAGATATTTGGAATGTTTCTTAAGCGTATCAACATGCCAAGGCCGCAGAAATTCCGCAAGCAAGACGGACACATAGAGCACCAAATAATCAGTTTAATTCTAATCGAGCTACAACTTCTAGGGGGCAATCTCAAAGTGGCAGCAATGCAGCCCCTCAATCAAGGTCAGGTGGTGGAGCAACTGGTGCTAAATTGCAGCCTAATGGAGCAGGAATTAAGTGCTTTAAATGTGGAGCACCTGGACACAAGTCGGCTGAATGTCGAAAAGCAAATAGTCGTGATAGAAAGCAACTTCTTATGGAAGAATGTGGTGAAGAAGAACCTATTTATGATGATGATGATGATGATGATGAGGATGCTGTTGTTAGAGGAGACACGGGGCTTTCTCTTGTGATGCGAAAGGCCTTTATAGCACCACAACACAAAGGTCCTGAGGATTGGTTGCGACATAATATTTTCCAAACTACTTGTACCATTGGTGGTAGTGTTTGCAAGCTGATCATAGATTGTGGAAGCTGTGAAAACATCATCTCTCAAGAGGCAGTAACGAAGTTAAAGCTATTGGTGGAAGCACATCCTCAATCTTACAAACTTTCCTCGTTTAAGAAAGGCAATGAGGTATCCGTCACTAAACGATACTTAGTTAATTTATCTATTGGTAGTAGGTACTTTGATAAAGTATGTGCGATGTTGTGGCAATGGAAGCATGCCATGTCTTGTTCGGTCGACCTTGGCAATTTGATATAAAGTACAACATAATGGCTGCAAAAACACTTATACTTTTAATAAAGATAAGAAAAAAATAATTTTGGTTCCATCTAAAGAGGAAGAAGTTACACCTAAATCTAAACTAGGGGAGGGTGTTAATTTACTCTCTATGGCCAATTTTGAGGAGGAATTGGAGGAGAGTGGCGTGGTATATGTTGTAATTGGTAAAGAGAAGTTTGCAGGAACAAATTGTCCAGCTGCGAGAGTAGAAGCAACGTCTTGGTGCCGCATAGGAGTAGCTAGAGTGGTGCTGAAACTCTAAGCCCCTGACATTATGCTCACCTCTTAAATGTTCTTGCACCAGAGCACAGTAATCCATCTACATTGGCTGTAAAAGATCCTTTAGAAAGAGTGAGGTTAATTCTTGAACATGCAGATAGGATGGGTTGCAAGAGATACCTAACTGCAAAAGATATTGTTGAAGGTTCTCCAAATCTTAACCTTGCTTTTGTGGCACATATCTTCCAGCATAGGTAAGAGTGGAGCCCACTGACCTTCTCTTTTCATGGGAAACAAAATCTATTTTGAAATGATTCTTTTTGGGTTTTGTTGTTATGTACTTTTGCTCAATCTTTTAATATAAAAACAAATAGTGGTTTTGGTGGATACAACCATCATGCATTTAGGCATTACTTCTTGGAATGTTGCAAGCCTCATCACATTCATGCGCATACAGAATAACTTTGTACCATTTACATAGCTATCCTAAATTATTTCATGGAATTAAGAGTTGTATATGTTCAAAATCCTTTCACCCACTCCCTCGAATAACTTTTTTCATTTGTTTGTTAAATGTTTAGCCTGTTCTTAGTATTTATGATTCATTTGTTATTTTCCAGTTATTTTACTTTAATTATCTAATAAGTGTTAAATGATAGACAAAGCTAACTTAGTTTTTACCTGCAGGAATGGCCTCTCAACCCAGACGAAACAAATATCTTTTCTAGAAACTTTACCAGATGACACCCAAATTTCTAGAGAAGAGATGTCATTTCGCTTTTGGATAAATAGTCTTGGAAATTCAACATACATCAACAATGTCTTTGAAGACCTTAGAAATGGGTGAATACAATCCTTATTTGACCCAAATTTACTCCTATTCTCATATATAATTAGTGTCAATGTATTTTTAGAATTCCTTAAAGAAATTTACAAAAATGATCACATTGTTTATTTTAATTTAAGTTTCATTATCAAATACCCTGTTTGAAAGGTTGAAATTCATCTAAGCTCTGAAATATTGGAAATTTTCTTATGATTAAAATTAAATGAAGGTCTTCCAAGTATAACAGTTGCTCCAGGTTGTATTTGCTTGATTATTATCTGTTGTATTCATTTTATTTATTGAAGCAAAATTTCTATTTGTCTGCAGGTGGATACTTTTACAGACCCTTGATAAGTTGTCTCCAGGAATAGATTGCAAGTAAGCCTCCAATTAAAATGCCATTCAGAGAAGTAGAAAACTGCAACCAAGTTGTCAAGATTGAGAAACAATTGAAGTTTTCCCTGGTTAACATTGCTGGGAATGACATTGTTCAGGGAAATAAGAAACTAATATTGGGTACGTTCTTTACTGTGGCTGTCACAAGTATAGTAGATATTATTGTGAAAGCTTTTGATGTATTGTAAATTTGTAATAAATGCTTTTGGTGGAATGCTTGGACTTCCTTTTTCAGCTTACTTGTGGCAATTGATGCGATACAACGTTCTGCAGCTTCTAAAGAACTTGAGATTTCATTCTCATGGGAAGGAAATCACTGATGCCAACATTTTACTAGTGTTGTAGTGGCCTTGCACACTCACACACACTAAGGCACTTAAGTTGGCAAGGAAAGAACACTTTTATTACTTCAAAGAATGCTTTGTACAAGACTAGCTCTCAAACTCTCTACAAAGCTCTCAAACTCACTTCTAGGACTTGTTGTCTACAAAATGAAATCCCACTCCTATTTATAGGCATCCCTATCCCTAATGGATGGCTAGGATGCACTTTAACCCATGGTGGGGATCGATTCTCTAGAATTTTCTCCCACCTTCTTCACACTTCCATACTTATCCACAAGTATCTATAACATTCTAGAACTCTCCATACTACTCCACACAATTCTGGAGAACTCCAGAACCTTCCACACACTTCTACACATTTCTACGCATATCTAGAATCTTCCACACAACTCTAGACTACTCTAGAAACTCCCATGCCATGCAGCGTCCAACTCAGCATCTGCGTGTCGCCTGCGTGGCGTAACCTCCATAGGCGGGGCGTGACAATAAGCTTCTCCATCCTGCAGGGTAAGCATTTTTATATGTTCAAATATTAGCATTATTTGAATAACACATTTAAACTTAACATAACTTGAAAAATATTGCACATACCATTACACCAATCCTTGTTTTTCATTGTAGGCATATATAATAAATAAGAAAAATTATATAGTTATTCAACTCCCATAAGCAAATGAAACTATATGGAAAATGTAAAACCAAACTCCTTCATACCAAGGGTGTTGAAGATGCAAGAAATTCATTTTATCTTTCTCTCTCTAGAACTCTTACACTTCAACAGAATTCCCCCTTTCTCTATCCATTACTTCTCATATTTATAGATACTTACAAACACTAATGGACTGCTAGATCTGGGCCCGTTCCTCTGTGAGTTTTGGTCATCTTTGATGGGCTATTCGCGTTCGGCCCATATAGCAGTATTTCTCTATGGGCTTGACCCATCTGCTCGGACCGGATGCCATGTTCGCGGGTCATATCCGGCCCATGTCACTCCTGGCCTCCTCAACTGCCCCCATAATTACTCCTTGTTTAATAAGGGGGTAATTATTAAAGGCGTCTCATCATGATGTTGACGGCTCGAGAAACCCTTATGGGGGAACGGACGGTCGGATCCGGAATCAATGTTCCGGGGTTCGATAAACTTCTTGCCTCCCTGACGCTTCGGCCCTCGGGTCCACTTCGCCTTTATAAGGCTCTAGAATGCCACTTCATGCCTTTTTACCGTCTCCATTTCTCTCCATCATCAGTCAAATCTCTCGCTCATCTTTTTAGAACAGTGCTAAATTTCATCCGGTGAAATTCTTCAAGAGTCATTCTTCCAGCGATTTTGCAATGCTCTTTGTTGCTTTCTACCCCAGAGGTTAGTCTTGTTCCTTTTTACTTTCGGCAGACTTCTTTTTACTCTTTTAGATCCTTCAATCGCTTCCACCATGGTTGTAGATCTAAATGTTCTTCGTATGAGACTTAGACTTCCTGACAACATCCAAGTTAGGGTTTGCCCTAAGGATGTTAATATTATGACCGGTGCCGGCCTTCTTCCTGGCGAGGTTTTATTTACTAACCTTCAACTGAATGTCGTTAGGTTCCCTCTGCATCCCTTCTTTAACTATGTTTTCAATAGACTGGGGATATCCCCCCTGCAGGTAAACCCCAATTTCTTTAGAATCATATCCGTTATGTTACTGTTGATTCGTGACAGAGGTCTGGATCTTGACCTCATAGATCTTCTTCTTTGCTATAAGGTCAGTAAGATCCGAACTGACGAGCCATTCTACCACCTCTACCCGATCGACAAGATGTCCATATGTACGGATACAATCAAATCTGAAAAGGGTTGGAGGGATAACATTGTGGGTGTTAGTAGGGCCTGGTCTTCGCCGGCTGCAGAGGATTACCCAATCTCGAGCGCCTTTGGCGTCTGTTCTGTCTCCTCGTATAAGAAATTCAAATCTCATAAAAACGATTGTCCCTGCGAAACATGTGTTCCTCGCTTTTGTACTTTCTTATGTCGCTCCTTAGGCATATCTTGTGATGACTTGAGCTACAGTGTTTGCAGGGATAGGAGTAATTACTTAAAGAAATACGTTCTGAACGATATTCCTTCTTGCTCAGACCTCCTCACTTCAGACAACCTTCTAGCGCTCTCATCCCTCGGCTATACAATGAGCAGGCTTCAGATTCCTTCCTTTGGTAGGAGGAAAAATCCTCCCACAGCCACTTCTGCTACTGGAGCAACCTCCTCTCCTGCATCAGCCTTTTCTTCAGCCACCATCTCTGACACCATCCCAAGTACGGTGGCTATTGATCCTGTTGTCAGCACCCCTGCTACCAACCTGAGCACATCTCCACAGATCACTACTACCCCTACTGCCGTTGGGGGTGCTCGGGACAAAGAACGAGGCAAAAGACCTCATCCTGACGGTGGAGTCAACCTTGAGGAAGAATCTCTTACAAGAAGGACCCGAGTCTCTGGGCCGAGCGCTCTCTTGCATCGCCCAGTTAGAGCTCCTGCCCCCTCCGGGCCTGTTGCAGCTGGTGCCTCTGCTTCTGCTTCAGCTTCTGCCTCTATTCCTGTTTTACCACCATGGGCTCCTCGATACACCCGAACGGATGGGACATTCGTGAAGCCGAACGAGACCATGTTGAAGGATGGCCAGACCGCCATGGCGTATTATAGGAGCATGTGGACTCCAAAAGACCTTGAGGCGGCGAAGGGTCTGTCACAAAAGGATGTGTTCAGCCGCTTTCCCCAATCTACCATGGAGGTGACTTTTATTTTCTAACTCATGAATCCTCTCATACTATTTGCTCTTGCCTTCTTCCGACCAGGCGATCGGTTTAACCAATATCCATGCATATCTATGCAGACTTTGTTCGGTATGATGGCTATGCAGAAACAGGTGGAAATGGGGAACGCCAGGGCCCGTAAGTTCTCTGATAGCCTGGATGTGGCTAATAAGGAAAACGACCTTCTTGCCAGCAAGAACACCGAGATATTGGCTCGGCTTGAAGAAACCGAAAAAGAAAGAGATGCTCTGAAGAAGGAAACCGACTCTCTTCAGGATGAAAAGGATGCCCTCCAGCTTGAGAAGAGTGTCTGGCAGACTGAACGTGATTCAATTAGAGATGAAAATGCAGAGCTCCAGCGCCTTCTGGCTGACGAGCAGTCTGCTGGGATGGCTTTTGAGAAAAGAGCTCTGGACGAGCGCAACACTCTGATTGATACCATTAGCAGAGTGAATGGTGGAATGCTGGCTCTTCATGCTCGGTTCTCAAGAGTTGGAGCTCTTAGATATGCTCAGGGATTCCGAGATGGTTTCTCCGACCGAGTTCCGACTGAGGGCCAGACCAGCTTAACTCCGGATGAAATTGATAAGGATCTAGGGATTGACCCTCTGGGGGTCTATGTTGACCCAGAACCCACCAAAGCCGAGCACATATTTGATGAATGTCAGGAGATTGCTTCCTCCAGGATCACTACATCTCCTCTTACTGTTCAGCCTCTAATCGCTCTTCCTTCGTCAACTGTGGTATCTCCCATAGTCACTGCTGACGTTGGGCCCCAGCAGAATGACTCTGTTATTCATCTCAATTCCCCACCTCATGAGGGTGAGATGGCTGACGGGAACGAGGAGGTGGATCAGCACAACCAGGAGGCTGTCGGTACTGAGGCAGCTAGCTAGGGCTCTTCCAGATTCTTCGATTCCATACTCTTTTGTAGTTATGTGACTTGAATACTTCACTTTTTGTAACCTCAATGCTTATTATGAATGAGATGATAAAACTCTTTTTTCTTTTTTTTCTTCTTCTTCTCTTTTTTTTTTTTTTTTGTGCTACGCTCTGTTCAAACCCACTTTCAATATTTTTTCATATTAACTTTGTCGTGTGCGTGTTTTTTAGCAAGTGTCCGGCGTTCGGCTTATGGTGCCAGCTGCCACTTATCTTGCTTAAGTGCATGGCGCTCGGCTAGAATGCCACTTGCCACTTGGCTTTTCATTTTTTAGCAAGTGTCTGGCGTTCGGCTTATGGTGCCAGCTGCCACTTATCTTGCTTAAGTGCCTGGCGCTCGGCTAGAATGCCACTTGCCACTTGGCTTTTTATTTTTTAGCAAGTGTCTGGCGTTCGGCTTATGGTGCTAGCTGCCACTTATCTTGCTTAAGTGCCTGGCGCTCGGCTAAAATGCCACTTGCCACTTGGCTTTTCATTTTTTAAAACCCTTTGAAAAAGAAAGCTATTTTTATAAATCTCAGGAATTTGCACATTCATACGTACTTGATTGAAAACAAACAACATCAAATAAAACTGAAACTTAGCTTTTATTGATAGTACCTCTTCAGAGACGAGCATTCCAGGGCTTGCTGACCAACCTTCCCGCCATGGTCTCTAATATATATGCCCCCTTCCCTATGGCTTCTGCAATTCTGTATGGGCCTTCCCAGGGTGGCATCATTTTTTTGACTATCCCCACCTTTCTTTTCAGAACCAGATCGCCAGGGGTAAAATCTCTGTGTTTCACTCTTTTGTTGTGACTATTCGCCAATACTTGCTGGTATGATGCTAACCTTATTGCTGCAGCGTCCCTCTTTTCGTTTATCATATCGAGGTTCAATCTTAACATTCTGTCGTTCTGATTTCGACTCCATGCTAAGCTTCTGATAGTTGGGACCAAGTGTTCAACCGGTATAACCGCCTCGGTACCATACGCCATTGCAAACGGGCTCTCCCCAGTCGGCCGCCTTGGGGTGGTTCTGTAAGCCCATAGGACGTTCGGGAGCTCATCCAACCACTTCCCTTTATGGTCCTCCAGCTTCTTCTTAATGCATGCGTAAATTGTTCTGTTTGTAATTTCTGCTTGTCCATTGGCCTGGGGATGACTTACTGCAGCCAACTTCTGATTAATTCCATACTCCTCCAGCAGTTCTCTTACTTGCTTGTTGTCGAGGTTCGTGCCATTATCCATGACTATTGACCTTGGAACGCCGAAATGGCAGATAATATGGCTCCAGATAAATCGTCTCACATGAGTCTGAGTCACGCTTGGATATGGTTCTGCTTCCACCCACTTAGTGAAGTAATCCGTGGCCAGTAGCACATACTTGTTCTGAGCTCTTGCAGTTGGCAGAGGACCGACCACATCCATCCCCCATTGCGCGAAAGGCCATGGCAAGGCCATTACGTGCAATTCCTCAGGTGGTTGGTGGATCAATGGTCCATACCGTTGGCATTTATCGCACCTTCGAGAGAACTCCTCCTCATCTCTTGACATGTTCGGCCAGAAATACCCTTGTGTCATTGCTTTGTGCGCTAACGATCTTCCCCCAGAATGGTTGCCACATACGCCTTCATGAATAGCTCGCAACACCTGCTGAGCCTCTGTGGGGGTGACACACTTTAAGTATGGGCCAGAGTAGGACCTTCTGTACAGCTGGTTATGCACGATGGCGTATTTTGCAGCATTCTTTTTGATTTTCCTAGCTTCATCCCTTTGCATAGGCAAAAC